TAGAATTAGAATTCTCCTTGTAGAATGATTGGCATAAAATATGCCCATCTAATATTTATTTTTATAATAACAGTAATATTTGTTACTATGGTCAGGCACTATATATATGTTAGCTCATTTAGTCCTCTCAGAAACCTTTTCAGGGAGATAATCTCACTACCCTCCATTAGAAATGAGGAAACAAAGGCACAGTGAGGTTAACTAACATGCCCAGGAGCCCAAAATTAGAAAGTGGTAGACAATCATATTTTAGAGCAACTTACAGGGAGCCTTGAGTGTATCAGTCCTTAAATAAATCATTAAACCCAAACACAATACTGTTACCTACTACAGCTTTGCTCATATAGTTCCCTTTTTGAAAATTCTTACTTTGTCTCTTCCCCACTTCACATTCCACTGAATATTCCCTTCTTTAACAGCCCATCTCAAATCCTCTTTGATACCCCTCCCTTACTCCAATAACATCTTACTGGTAATTTTTATATCACTTACCAAACTAAATTTCATCTCACATCTTTGTGCATATGTTTGTTTTTGCAATTAGCTTGAGAGATCTGAGGAGATACAGATCATGTTTGTTTTCTGTTTTTAATCTTTGAAGCTTGTGTAGCAATTTGGCACAATGCATTGCCTCACATAAGTGTTCAATAAATCTTTGTCGAATTCACTTTTAAGATTATCAAAATAAATCTCCCCAGGATTTTATCAGAATAACGTATTTTTTACTTTAAAAAATCATTATATCGCCCTCCAAACCCCTGTGATATTTATGCATTCTCAGACTAAGCTGGATTTTCAAGCAGATGCAACTGGGAGAATGGTCCTGGAGCTTTACCTTTTTATGTGGTTTTAGTGGTAGGTCTCTTCCCTAGTCAAAAAGAGTACTGCATCAGATTTTATTGTCCATGTGAATGCATTCATTGAAAAGCAGACCTCCAAAAGGACTGGTTGAATCATGCTGCGGTTCAATCATGCACAGATAAGTGAGTACTTATTACAAAACATCTACTTAGTTTCCTGGTATGTATGAGCCTTTCCAGTGTGCACAATGAACTAAAAGCTGCTGGACACAAAAATGTTCTTTATCCAAGTAACACCAGTGCCATCTGCAGGAAGAGCTCAAGCAGCAGTTGTGTTTTTATTTATATATTTCTCTTCAGTCCCAGGAGAAGGCTTTGTCATGCTTTCACCTGATGAAAACCATTACAGAGCTCACCTACTATGGAAGGTTTCCACCCATTTTCCTTGGTATTTGGAGAAGGTATTGTTAAAATATAAGAAACCATAACATAGCTGAACTAGAGAAATCTAGTTCATTCAGTTCCCCCCAATAACACTAGAAATGAACAAATAACCTCAAACAGTGATAAACAAAAGGGCCAATATTACTGCTTAAAACAAAATCAAGAGCAATGAAATGATGAGAGTGAACATTTTGTGCATGTGAGCGCTGATGTTAAAATCATCTCAACACGGAGGAAAGAAGAGAGGAAAAGCATCTATTGAGATAACGCCTATTTCTAAAGATAAACTGGTCATGATCCTCAAAAGCATTAATTATAATATTGAACTAGTGTTTATCAAGAATAATCTACATCATTCCACTTCATCAAATAAATCAGGTTTTTAAACTACCAATAAATTAAATAGTAATTAACGGTCATCTGTAGCAGAACCACTCTAATTGAGCCTACTTATATAAGCAAAAGCAAATTGCATAAGACCATACCAAAATGATCAAGTGATACTACATTTCATTTCTTTCGTATTTATTTCTCTTCAAATACATTTGTTACAGTTTTTGTTTTGTTTTGCAATGGATGAATATAATTGTGTACCTCAGTCTGGTGGGGTCCTCAGCTGTGATCCACAAAGCAGAAAAATTAGTGAAGTTTTATCACATGTGAAGCATGCCAAATCCCCAACGGCATGCAAGACTAGCAAACTTTCCCACTTTTTTCTCATATTTTCTGCCACTCTTTTTAAAAGAGGCCTCTCAACTGAACTTCTACATTATGAATGTTTAACTCTGCACATAGAGTAGAAAATCATTTCTACATCTATTGAGAAATGCTGACAATTCTATCCTGCCCAACATATCTCTCCCATTGGCCTACCAGAAAATCTAACGGGAGAGATTGTATCTAACAATTACCATGAGGAAACAACTTTAAAGATCACAGATGCTACTTGTAGTTGCTGAAGTTAACATAGCTACAGAGCTATGTATATAGCCCTGAAAATCAAGACTGAATTGAAGTAATCAAGCTTAAATTTGTAATATAGGCTAATTACTATGACAATATAGGTAGTATTGATAATGCTAGAATATGCCTATATTGCAAATATAACAATAAAATGAGTTATCCTATTAAAAAAATAAGCAAGCAAAAAATTCACTGGGCAGGTAGAAGGTAATTGCAATGGGCATAAATCAATGAAGAATAATATTTTACTAGAAATTAGTGGCAGGAAGGAAATGAAAAGTATTGTGATGATATTGTAACATTCCTGAGCCCTTTCTAGAATGCACTACTGAGACAGGACACAAAATAAACACAGTTGTAGTAAGGAACTCAATCAGCTCTTGTGTCTCATTCAGTGCAAACAAAGCATGGGACAAGTCTTCATATTTTGAGCACCAAGAAAGTCTAGAAACTATTTAGAGACTTAAGGTCAAAAAATGAATCGGTTGGTGAAGCAAAAGTGACATGACTTTAGGGGTTCAAGGGCCCTGTCCCACAGAGGCTTACAACAATCAGCAAGGTAAAGGTTGAACTAGATGGCTTGATATAAGTCCAGACTAGAGTAAGTCAAGAATTTGAAAGTTCAGAGAGAAATTCAGGATTCTATGGCATGCAATCCTAAAAGGCAAGATAGGCCGAAAGGACTACAGCCTCCCCAGGAATCATTCTGATTATACAATCACAAGGTATTTTATTAGAAGAGAAGAATGTGAAGCACCAAAATAAACATGGCGGTCCCAGCAAGTCATAGACTAAGAGAATAACACATGGTTTTAATGACTGCATGACAAAAAATAAAATATTATCCCAGACTAGGAACAAAGATATAACCACCAACAGTAAATATGAAAGCTGCAAAGCATTTTGTTTAACAAAGAGGATAGGAAGAAACAAAATTTATACAATATGTATATTAACGCTGGCTGAAATGAAGATAAGGATTCCAAAGCCCCGTTCCCTCCCACTACCACATAGGGGCCTGAAAGGGCTCTTGGAGCACTGTCTGAAACCTCAGGCCTAGGTCAATGTACAAGTTGCTCTGCATAGATAAAAATACCTTTTTTATTTCATTTCTGACCCACCTTTCCAGCTCTCCTGTTCCCTACACGCATACACGTGCATGCACACATGTATCAACCACACTGCCCTGCTGATTTCTGCCCTTGTGCAGTTCCTCACCTCCTCCTCTACACTTCTTTCCTTTGAGTGAATTGTATTCTCCTATGGGAAGCTGAAGATTATAAAATAAACTAGCATGAACAGAACCAGAATTTATGCTTTCGTGTGTAATCATTTCTCTCACAGAAAAGCCTTTCTGGTGCTTCCATTCAAACATTTTCTGACCTTGATCAGTGAAGTAAAGGTGCTAGGAGAGTGTTCTCTAGTTTATGTTTGGTTGCAAACAGATGGGCAATGACAATGTATATGTCCAATATTTAATTCACTGTTAAGTTTTCCAGCTGCATGATCAAATGTAGAAGTTTACCTATCTAATTAAAAACTGTTGGGGTTTTCCTCCTGGAGATTCAGTTTGATGCTCTTTTTACCAAGCAGAGACAAGCACTCCAACAAGTAGCAGGCAATATAAAAGGAATGGGCTCCGCAGGGCAGTATAGCTTCGAACTTTAGTGTGAACTTCTGAGTTACAGAAAAATTAGTGAGAAATGTTCTCTTATAGCATTATTAATTAATTACACTACTAATTCTTTAATTTGTTCTATATTTACAAAGACCAGAGCCACTGTGAACACATTTTCTGCCTAACCCAGAAACTCAAAGTGTTTCTCCTATGGTTCTTCTTTCTAAATTCCTTGCCTTGTATAAAATGCAAAAACTTGCAAATTCACCTTTGTCAGGTCCATAAGAGTGCTTCTCTTTTAAGGTAGTTTAACCCAAAGAGTCTTTAGAAGAGCTCCATCCCTGATTCTATTTCCAAAGAATATTACTAATATGGGCAAATCTAAAGCCTGTAAAGAGGCTTAGAAACATATTTGAACAAAATCTTTATTGAGACCTTAACATGTAAATGTTGTGTAATCTCACAAGATCACATTTCCACAGATTTCAATTCTTAAAAATTTTTTAAATTATGTAGTTATGTGGAACTTTTGCTGGTAGTTACTAAAACAAAGTCAATTTATTGCCTATACTACTGAGCACTTTATGTCCTAGCAATAAAGAAAAGCATGCCAAAAATGCATCGATGTGGTTCTTTCCTGAGAAAAATTCTACAGAGACTAATAATAGGCAAGTAAAAGTTAAACTATGTGAAAATTAAGAGAAGCAATGAAAGCTTCAGAAACTGAAACGTCTTCAACTTTGTATTATCTAGCTAACGTGTAGATAGTAAAATGACCAAAAATATGTCAGAAAGATTTTATATTATTAACTGAATGAATGTCTGACTATAAAGCAAAGTCCAATTAACAGATAAAATAATGGGAGGAGTATAATGATTCACCAAATAGAGAAGGAGAAAAGAAGACAAAGGCTGAAAGAGAATGCAATAGTAGTCAATTAAATGAGCTTAGTACACTACATTTTTATGTAGATAAATGTAGAAAATGAGAAGAGAATTTCAATATGCATACATTTATTTACTCCAAACAGATCATATCAACATGATGTATAGGCATACCTCCTTTCATTGCACTTCACAGATATTGAGTTTTTTACAAATTGAAGGTTTGTGGCAACTCAGCCTTAAGCCAAGCCTATCAGTGCCATTTTTTCAACATGTGCACACTTCCTGTCTCTGTGTCACATTTTGGTAATTCTCACAATAATTCCAACATTTTCATTATTATGTCTGTTATAATGACCTGTGAGCAGTGATCTTTGATGATACTATTACAATTGTTTGTGGGAGCCATGAATGATGTCCATGTAAGATGAGGAACTTCATAAATGTTGTGTGTGTTCTGACTGTTCCACTTACCAGCTGTTCCCCCATCTGTCTGCCTCTCCTCAGGCCTCTCTATTCCCTGGAACACAATAGTATTGAAATTAAGCCGCTTAATAACCCTACAATAGCCCCTAAGTGTTCAAGTGAAAAGGAGGGTTGCACATCTCTCACCTTAAATCAAAGCTAGAAATAATTAAGCTTAATAGGGATGGCATGTCGAAAACCAAGATAGGCAGAAAGCCAGGTCTCTTGCACCAAACATCCAAGTTCAGAATGCAAAAAAAAAAAGTTCTTAAAATAAATTCAGGCCAGGCACAGTGACTCACACTCGTAATCCCAGCACTTTGGGAAACCCAGGCGGGTGGATCACAAGGTCAGGAGTTCAAGACCAGCCTGGCCAAGATGGTGAAACCCTGTCTCTACTGAAAATACAAAAATTAGCCGGGCATGGTGGCAAGCACCTATAATCCCAGCTACTCAGAAAGCTGAGGCAGGGAATTGCTTGAACCCAGGAGGCAGAGGTTGCAGTGAGCCGAGATCGCACAACTGCACTCCAGCCTGGATGACAGAGGAGACTCTGTCTCAAAAAAAATTAATTAAATAAATAAAATAAATAAATTCTAAGTGCTACTCCAGTGAACACAAATAATAAGAAAGCAAAACAACCGTATTACTGATATGGAGAAAGTTTTAGCAGTCTGGATGGAAAATCAAATCAGCCACATTTCCTTAAGCCAAAACTCAATCAGTGCAAGTCTCTAACTCTCTTCAATTCTGTCAAGGCTGAGAGAGATGAGGAAGGTTCAAAAGAAAAGTATGAAGCTAGCACAGGTTGGTTCTTGAGGACTAAGGAAAGAAGCCATCTTCATATCATATAAGTGCAAGGTGAAGCAACAGGTGCTGATGAAGAAGTTGCAGCAAGTTATCCCAAAAAATCTAGCTAAGATCATAGATGAAGGTGGCTACACTAAACAACAGATTTTTAACATAGTCAAAATAGCCTTCGATTAGAAGAAGATGTCATCTAGGATTTTCATAGCTAAAGAAGATAAGTCAATGCCTGGACTTAAAGCTTCAAAGAACAGGCCAACTCTCTTGATAGAGGCTAATGCAGCTTGTGACCTGAAGTTGATGCAATGCTCATTTACCATTCTGAAAATCCTAGGGCCCTTAAAAATTAACCTAAATATACTCTGCATGTGCTCTGTAAACAGAAAAACAAAGCCTGGATGACCACACATCTGATTACAGGATGGTCTCCTGAATATTTTTTAAGCCCACTATGGAGATCTACTGCTTAGAAAAAAAGAAAAAAAAGATTTATTTTTTATCAAAATATTACTGCTCATTGACAGTACACCTTGTTACCCAAGAGTTCTGATGGAGGGGTACAAGAAGATTAATGTTGTTTTCATACCTGCTAATACAATATCCATTCTTCAGCCCATGGAGCCAGGAGTAATTTTGACTTTCAAATATTATAATTTAAGAAATACACTGTATAAAGCTATAGTTGCCCTAGATAGAAAACTATGGGAAAGCCTGGGTGAGGTTCAAACCTCAGTGTTTACCAATTCCTCCAGGAGAGTCCTATGCATGCCAGTTTGCAAACCACCACACTAGGTAACTGGTCTCAGTTACACACAGACTGTTAGAAAACCAGGTGTCTTTCACAGACCTTTGGTCCCTTATGTTAGTCCTGTCAAACCAGGACTCTATCTTTCTCAAAGGTCATTTTATTTCTTAAGCCCTATGTCCTGCCTTTGCCTCTGAACCTTGACTGAAGCTACCCTAATATTCCCCAATTTCAAATCCTGGGGAGAAGGAATGAGAAAAAATCATTATTGAAGTAACTATTTTCTCTCCTGCAATTACCCTCTTCACACCTGGTATGTCAGGGAATAGCCACTTAAGTCCCTCCCAACCAAATCCTAGAACAGAGGCTACAAATGTCACCTATATTTGTATAACAAACAAAGCAAGGTAAGTAATCCTTTATAAATCAAAGAAAATCCAGGCAAAATTATACCCTCAAACGATTTTTTCTTTTTTTTGAAATGGAAGTACATGATTCCCACTTGTCCTTCAGCTCTAGGAAAGCTTTTGTATTGTGTGAAAACGGCAGGCCTTAGGCCCAAGAGGCTGAGTCTATAGATCAACCCTCTTTTTCTTACATATTTGCTCACAAATTCCACCAGCAACAAATTAGTGGTGGTAGGATTATTTGATCTCGTCAAATACTTTGTAAATACTTAGATATTTTCTCTATCCCTTATATACTTTCAAAGAGACTAATGTTCTACACACATGAACAATCAATTTATTGTATAATTTTCATAAGTTAGTAATAACCTGTAGTCAATATCAATCCATAAAGAAAACTGAAAACACTTACCGTATTTTAATATAAAGAGAGAAAAAAACTCAAGAGTTTGATTATTGCTTTCTTCAAACTGCATTAGCTGGAAAAATATAACAATGAAATTCAAATATTAATATTAAGTGTCAATTCAAAGTTTCCATAGAGGATAGCCAATAAGGGCACACATTTTTTATAACTACTAAAATAGTCAGTGTTGCTTTGCCTTTATGTAAAATTTAGCAAATGACAAATTTCTTTTAAGTAGAAGCTTTAGAGTATACTGCAGTATGTGTGTTACTATTAATGGTGATAGAATCTTATGAATACTGCTAAGGATTTTAAGCATCACCTGTACACATAGCCAGGGCAGCCATCAAGTGTACCAAGATGACCTTCCATTGAGACTCTGCCACACTTAGCCCTCCCAGAACAAAGACTACTACTTTGTGGGTATTGGCCCTCTTCAACTAGCAACAGAGCTGGTTGCTTTAAAGATTTACAGTCATGTGTCACTTAACAATGGGGATACATTCTAAGAGAAGCATTGTTAGGCAATTTCTTCATTATGCAAATATCATGGAGTATACTTACACAAACCTAGGTGGTATAACCTTCTACACACCTAGGCTATATAGTATATAGTATATATTGCTCCTAGGCTATAAATTTGTATAGCAAATTAAATACTGTAGGGAATGTTGCAGGCAATTGTGTGCAGTGGCAAGTATTTGTGCATCTAAACATATCTAAACATAGAAAATGTACAGTTAAAATATGATATTATAATCTTATGGGACCACTGTTGTATGTGCGGTCGGTCTGTCATTGAGTAAAATGCCATTCTGCAGCACATGACTGTACTTTATTTTTGTGTGACCATTAGGGTAATTATAAACCATTATAAGCAAATACAATTTAGTTTTCTTATTTATGTAAACAATACTGTATTCATTTGCTTAAATGAGAGCAATTCTGAGGGTTTTTTTTTAAACTAAGTCAATTCAAGAAATCATGGGGATGAAGAATGGTAATGTACCATTAAATGAAATTGAAAGATAATAAACAAAGTTCATTTTAATCAATAATTTCCATTTCCTTCCACATCAAAACTTTTGCCAAAGCAATCAATAATAAAAAAATTAATTAACTGTATTCTTTCTTCTACCATATATGAAATAGTCAAAGGGTAGCAGCAAGAAAGAGAAGGATGTGGTATCCGGACACGTCAAAAAAACCAGTCAGTGATCCAGAGTTGTTTACAAGCGGCACTTTAGTGTTTAATATTCCTGAAGTTCTATAAAACAGATTTCTGTTCAAAATATTCCAAAGCACTGAATACTTTGTCATGGAATTATAAAAATGAAAGAGCCTGCACTTTGGAGACAGATCTGTACATAAATTCCCACCGTGTGACCTTTGGCAATTCAATCAATGTCATGAACATCATCATATTTACAAATTGTGCTCTGCCTCATAGGGGCTGGTACAAGGATTGTCTCAAATGAGAGAAGTAAAGTACATCATGTGTCATCTGGCACCTAATAGGCATTCAATAAATGGTAAATATCCATGTAATTTTGAATAGACTAATGAACCCTTTCCATTCATACCTACCCTCTCATAATCCACTCATGAATAAAATGATTTTATAGTCTTTTATCTCTGTAATTTATATTTATTCTGAAACAAAAACATCTACATAAGCTAATGCACACAGCTGTCTTCGCTACTTGAAAATTAGCCAGGAAGTTAGCAGGTAAGTGCTCCTTTTAGGTCACCAGTTAATACAGGTGTTTTAGGTTCCTGGAAGCTTTGCTCTCAGAGGAAAAACATTTCAGAGAATTTGAGAGAGCATCAGGTCAACCATAATGAGTCTGAGACCAGATGCCAGTCATAATTTTAGGCCAGCTGCTACCTCCTTTTGAGTTTGAACAAAGACCTAACCTCTGAGAGAATAGCTCTCCCTCTACCTAGGAATTGGTAGCAGAGAGAACTATATGAAACAGATTTTGACAAGATTTAAAAGTCTTACTGGACTGTAGCATAACTGTAGTGGAATGAGGTCTTGGATAGGATTGGGATTTGCCAAAACAGTATGTGAGTGAAGACAAGCCTGAGAAGTATACTTGGTCAATGATAAAGTTGTTAAACTTAGAGAAACATAGTAGCTTCAAATAAGACTCTCAGAACTTCAGTTAAGTTTTATCCCCCCCTGACAGCATGCTGTAGCAGGTAATACCCAAGCAAACAAATTTGACACTCATCTCTGTTATACGCCAACTGTGTGATTTGGGGCAATTTATGTACATCTTCTAAGTTTCATTTTTCTCCTCTTTAAATTGGTGGAAATCATAGCACCTATGCCATAGGATTGCTGTGATTATTAATTGAGCTAATAATATAAATTTCTTAGCACTATGCCTGAAATGTAATAGGGCTCAACAAATAGTGGCTGTAGATATCACATGGCAGATACTAGCATAGACAGAAAACGTAAATTCATTGTGACTTAAATAAAAAATAAACTTATTTTTCTTTCACATAAAATAAGTGTTGGGATAGGAAACCCAGGGCTCTTCCTGTTTTTCGTTCCATGATCCTAACAGTCACAGTCCATCTTCAAGGGCATTTAGTGGTCAAAAATGACTGCAGAAGCCCCAACCATCATAGTATATTCAACTTCCTAAAGACAGAAAAAAAAGGGGGGGGGGGGGACAGAGGAACTAATCCCAAATGTCTGCTCACTTTTCAGGCTCTTTCCCATTCTGTAACAACTTTCATCCAACATCGGCTTACATCTCATTGGCCAGAACTGAATCAAGTCCTGTTGCAAAGGGAGGGTAGAGAATATAGTATTTTAGATGTCCAATAAAAATTACAGTTAGGCACACAAAAAAAAGAAACCTTAAAAAAATTACAGTAAAAATGAAGTGGAAATGTGGATTTGATAGGAAACAAGCGGAATCTGCCACAATGTGCTACATTGGTTCTCGTTTATCATTCAGTCTTTCACTGCCTTTACTAAATTGACCATCTCTATCTGGAATAATTCATGAAGTACAGACCTTTTCTCCCTTGTGTTTTTCCTCCAAGTACCCCTCCAGTATTCATCATCTCTATGAGGGGTTCAAAAATTTAAATCTCTCAAGTTAGAAGTCAGATGAAGATTTCAAGACTCTTGCAATCTAGATAAGGTTTGTTCAAATCCCGATTTCAAGATTCAAAACCTTATCGAAGACTTCTGCCAACTCCCATAGCTTCTATTTTCCTGATGATGTTTGATTTCAAGCTTCTGTTACCCGGTGTACCATCTTTTCTGAACTATTCCAACCCAGTTTTAACACCCAGAACCTTTATTGATTTAAAAAAAAAGATGATAGATAGATAGATCTACTGATGTTGCTATAGCTCTAACTCCCTACTTTCTCATGCAATGTATTTGTAAGAAAAATAGGCATGACTAGAAATCTGCAGAAAAGCCAGAAACCTGACAACAATTTCAAAGGTAATATTTGACATCCACCTTCTTAAAATGTCCATTATTCACCCTACAATGATAAATCTTCACTAGCCATGTCAGCATTACAACCCCTTTCCATATAGGTCCTGTGTCTACTGCCCTTTCCTCTCCTATCTCTAACCTTTTCATCTTGGGAGAAAAATGAATTCATCACATTCTTTACCTGGATTATTGAGATAGCCTCCTAACTGGTCTCTCTGCTTCCACTTTGCCCTCCTGCTGTCCACTTCCATCCTAGCAGTCAGAAAGGTTCATTTGAAAACCCATCAATTCATGCCACTCTTCTCTCAGAAACTTTTAATAGAATCCCATCACACTATGAGTAAATGCCAAAGTATTTACAGTTTGTCCTACATAACCTGGTCCCCTAGAGAGTATTAAACAAAAGGGTTAATATAATAGTTACCATTCCTGCCTTATTCATCAGCTCCAGCCACAAAGGCCTCCTCGCTCAAAGACATTCCTCCCCAGACATTCCTTCCCCTCTGCTTACAACAGTTTTCCCTCAGTTATCAATCTGCCTAATTCTCAGACTTTCTTTAGGTTTTTGCTCAATTGCCACCTCAGTGAAACCTTCCTAGGCACCATTTTTTAATTTTACTTTAAGTTCTTGGATACATGTGCAGAATGTGCAGGTTTGTTACATAGGTATACATGTGCCATGGTGGTTTCCTGCACCTATCAACCTGCCATTCAGGTTTTAAGTCCCACATGCATTAGGCATTTGTCCTAATGCTCTCCCTCCCCTTGCCCCCACCCCACAACCAGCCCCAGTGTGCGTTGTTCCCCTCCTTTGTCCATGTGTTATCATTGTTCAACTCCCACTTATGAGTGAGAACAAGCGGTGTTTGGTTTTCTGTTCTTGTGTAAGTTTGCTGAGGATGATGGCTTCCAGTTCGATCCATGTCCCTGCAAAGGACACGATCTCATTCTTTTTTATGGTCGCATAGTATTCCATGGTGTATATGCACAAGGTTTTCTTTATCCCATCTATTATTGATGGGCATTTTGGTTGGTTCCATGTCTTTGCTCTCATAAATAGTGCTGCAGTAAACATATGTGTGCATGTATCTTTATAGTAGAATGATTTATAATCCTTTGGGTATATACTCAATAATGGGATTGCTGGGTCAAATGGTATTTCTGGTTCTAGATCCTTGAGGACTCACCACAATGTCTTCCACAATGGCTGAACTAATTTACATTCCCACCAACAGTGTAAAAGCGTTCCTATTTCTCCACAGCCTTGCCACATCTATTGTTTTCTGACTTTTTTAATAATCACCATTCTGACTGACGTGAGATGGTATCTCTTTGTGGTTTTGATATGCATTTATTTAATGATCAGTGTTGATGAGCTTTTTTCATATGTTTGTTGGCCGCATAAATGTCTTCTTTTGAGAAATGTCTGTCCATATCCTTCACCCCCTTTTTGATAGGGTTGTTTGTTTTCTTCTTGAAAAGTCCTCGTAGATTCTGGATATTAGACATTTGTCACATGGGTAGATTGCAAAAATTTTCTCCCATTCTATAGGTTGCCTGTTCACTCTGATGATAGTTTCTTTTGCTGTGCAGAAGCTCTTTATTTTAAATAGATCTCACTTGTCAAGTTTTTGCTTTTGTTGCAATTGGTTTTGGTGTTTTCATCGTGAAGCCTTTGCCCCTGCCTATGTCCTGAATGGTATTGCCTAGGTTTTCTTCTAGCATTTTTTATGGTTTGGGGTTTTACATTTAAGTCTTTAATCCATCTTAAGTTAATTATTGTATAAGGTGTAAAGAAGGGGTACAGTTTCAGTTTTCTGCATATGGCTAGCCAGTTTTCCCAGCACCATTTACTAAATAGGGAATCCTTTCCCCGTTGCTTTTTTTTGGTCAGGTTTGTTGAAGATTAGATGGTTGTAGATGTGTGGTGTTATTTCTGAGGCCTCTGTTCTATTCCATTGGTCTATATGTCTGTTTTGGTATCAGTACCATCATGTTTTGATTACTGTAGCCTTGTAGTATAGTTTGAAGTCAGGTAGAGTGATCCTTTAGCTTTCTTCTTTTTGCTTGGTTTAGTCTTGGCTATACAGGCTCATTTTTGGTTCCATATGAAATTTAAAGTCATTTTTTTTCTAATTCTGTGAAGAAATCAATGGTAATTTAATGGGAATAGCACTGAATCTATAAATTACTTTGGGCAGTATGGCCATTTTCATGATATTAATTCTTCCTATCCATGAGCATGGAATGTTTTTCCATTTTTTGTGTCCTCTCTTATTTCCTTGAGCAATGGTTTGTAGTTCTCCTTGAAGAGGTCCTTCATATCCCTTGTAAGCTGTATCCCTAGGTATTTTATTCTCTTTGTAGCAATTATGAATGGGAGTTCATACATGATTTGGCTCTCTGCTTCTCTATTGTTGGTGTATAGGAATGCTTGTGATTTTTGCACATTGATTTTTTTATCCTGAGACTTTGCTGAAGTTGCTTATCAGCTTAAGGAGTTTTGGGGTGAGATGATGGGGTTTCTAGATATAGGATCATGTCATCTGCAAATAGAGACAGTTTGACTTCCTCTTTTCCTATTTAAATATGCTTTATTTATTTCTCTTGCCTATTTGCCTGTGCCAGAACTTCCAATACTATGTTGAACAGGAGTGATGACAGAGGGCATCCTTGTCTTGTGCCAGTTTTCAAAGGGAATGCTTTCAGCTTTTGTCCATTCAGTGTGATATTGGCTATAGGTTTGTCTTAAATAGCTCTTATTATTTTGAGATATGTTCCATCAATACCTAGTTTATTGACAGTTTTTAACAGGAAGGGATGTTGAATTTTATCAAAGGCCTTTTCTACATCTGTTGAGATAATCATTGGTTTTGTCATTGGTTCTGTTTATGTGATGGATTACTTTTATTGATTTGTGTATGTTGAACCAGCCTTGAATCCCAAGGATGAAGCTGACTTGATCGTGGTAGATAAGCTTTTTGATGTGCTGCTGCATTTGGTTTGTCAATATTTTATTGAGGATTTTTGCATTGATGTTCATCAGAGATACTGGCATGAAGTTTTCTTTTTTTTGTTTTGTCTCTGCCAGGTTTTGGTATCAGGATGATGCTGGCCTCAGAGAATGAGTTAGGGAGGAGTCCCTCCTTTTCAAATTTTTGGAATAGTTTCAGAAGGAATGGTACCAGCTCCCCTTTGTACCTCCAGTGGAATTCAACTGAGGATCTGTCTGGTCCTGGGCCTTTTTTGTTTGGTAGGCTATTAATTACTGCCTCAATTTCAGAACTTGTTATTGCCTAGACAGCATTTTTATAATAGCAACCTTTCAGGTCCCAATTACTCATCCACTTTCCCTGCTTTACTTCTCTACAGAATACTTACCTTCTGACAGTCTACATAATTTGTTTATATATTTGCTTACTTTCTCTTCTGTTTAGAATGTAAACCTCATGAGGGAAAGACCTGTAGTCTGTTTTGATTATGCTCTATCCTCACAATATCTGAAATACCATAAGTTCTCAATAAATATTTGTTAAGTAAACCATAAAAGGAGTTTTTTCACACAGATAATCTTAGCTATCATTTGTACATTTGTAGTGATTGGGCTTCTGCAGAGATCCTCTTTACATCAATTGGCTTATTAAATTAGTTTTCCAGATCAACTCCCTAAAATGAATGCTTTGCCAGCTCTTAAGAAAACAATTTTCCCAAGTTCCACTTTAAACCAATTCCACATGCCTTTGTGGGGGCCATGGAGGAATAGGGCTCAGATTCCAATTCGAGTAAGAACCAGCTACAAGGAATATAGGTAGCTGATGACCTTCACCTTTAGGATCCACCACAACAGCATTCATGCAGAAGCCCCATCTCTCCTGGTTGCTCCCTGCCAGTGACCAAACACAACGGGAATACTAGTACCAGGACACTTATGCTCAATGCAGGACTTCTCCGGTGGACAGTTTCTTCTCTGGAGCTCTCACTGACCTTTCCAAAACTTGTTCAAGACAGCACTATGGTCAGGCTGTTCCTACCAATCTGCCTCTTTTCCCTTTCTCTTTTTACAGGTATTGCATCTGCATCTGTAAGATTCCCTATGGACTCTGCTCCTTCCCCCATTATCTTTCACAGGCATTGTCTTAATTATTCTCTTATACTTCAAATTCTGTCTTGGTGATTGCTTCTCAGAGAACTTGGTCTGATACAGTCTTTTAGACATTTCCATTTGGATACACTCTAGTCAGCTCAAATCCAGTATGTTCAAAACAAACTCAAGAGGGTCTCATGAAAGTTGGCCCCAAACATTGTGGATTAAGTTGAAACCATTTTCAACAGAGACCTGTTACTGTGGGGAAAATGGCCCAAAAAGTACTGAAAACTATCTCCTGGGACTAAGCATAGCAGCATCCCTAGACCAGAACACTTCTAGTCAGATTGAACCACTCAGGTGATTGATTACTTAGATTATGAAGAACATCTTCTAGATTTTGTACAAAAGGCCCCAGACACTTGAAGTAGCCATTTTTTTAAGAATATAATGGCTTTAAATAATCTCTGATCCTAAAGTTAACTAAAAATAACAGTAGAAAACTAAGTTTTAAAAGACCCAGTTTGGGATTATTTTTACCATGTAGTTTATTAAAATAAAATAATAGCAAAATATTACCTTTTTAGAGGCGCAGGCATTTCTTCTATATTTTGGTTCAAACCAGATCATACAAGTAGAAAAGTATTTAAGCTAGTGAAATTTTTGTTCTTTTTTTCTTCAGTCAGAGCTGTGAGTTATGGTTGATCTGTGTACTAAGTGATTGAAACAGCTTCAAGTTACTGTTTAAATGTTTCTAAAGTTTCAAGATAGACATTTTTACCTTTACTTGAAAAATACAGGAATTTCTGATGTTAGCTCATTCCATGTCACAATGGGACATCTTTTCTAAATAAAGACATTGAAAGAGTAAAAATAAGATGTTGCTGTTTCACAGGAGCATGATAGCAATGGTATCGCTACATGTATCCCTGATGATTAGGAGGGCTCCTTCCTTCAAAGGTAAAATTTTCTTTTGGTTTTTGCTTTTTGGTTCCCAAAAGAATTACTTCATCTGGAGAGTATATACCAATTCTGCAAACACAGGAACAAGAAAAAAACAGGCTTCAGAAAATCTATAATCTTAAATATAAGGAACTTGGCTAATTTTGGACATAGCCATATAACAATGTATAATAGAAGTATGAGTAGCTGACTTGAAATAACTTTACATCAAATACCTACATGTTAAGTATCTTCAAAACACTTCGACACTATTTCAAAGGAAATATAATTTTTAAATACACAAACTAGATTATTTTTTCAGCATCATTTATTCCTTGCATGTATCATCCAATTTTTTTTTTGAAACAAGATCTCCCTCTATCACTTAGGCTGGAGTGCACTGGCATGATCTTGGCTCACTGCAACCTCCAACTACCAGACTCACACGATCCTCCCACCTCAGCCTCCTGAGTAGCTGCGACTACAGGTGTGTGCCATCACACCTAGATAATTTTTTTGTACTTTTTATAGAGATGGGGTTTCACCATGTTGCCCAGCCTGGTTTCAAACTCTTAGACTCAAGTAA